AAGAAAATTCATTCGATGTCAAAATTTAAAAAAAAAAAAATGTTACATGAAGTCCATTCCTTTTCACAGATTATAGACCCATGTCATATGTTTCCAATCCTCAGAGAGGAACAATGCAAAGTGATACATGTACCATAAGATACAACATTTATGTGGATTTTAGATTTTGAATATATTTTATAATTTTAAATATAAAATGGTATGAAAAAATTCCTACTGTCTTGAAATAGTATTACCTACCATATATATTGTGCATTTCCCCATGGCAGAGATCCAAGTTAAGGACTAAAAAGAATTTAGTTAGTTTCAAAAATAAACAAATCATTTTTCAAAGAACCCCCCTGCCTTATTTGATTTTTAAAATATCATTGTCTGGAAGAATAAGTTATCTTTTGATTATTATTATTAATAACACCAATTCAGACATTGATTTAATTTTTTCTATCACAAGTTTGCTTGGGCCGAGGTGTGTATTGGCCGACATATCAATAATTTTGGGCCGAGATGTCTATCTACCGCCCTGGGGGGGGGGGGGGGGGGGGGGTTGGACAATTGAACTTAAGCATCTTTATTTTCATTTTTTTTTCATTTTTCATTTAATGTGCATAAAATAGCAAAGTAAAACCTTATTTCACACATTCTGATAATCATGTCGATATCTACTTTTTTCCCCTCAGTTTTTATAAAGAAAAGAAGATATATTTAAGCTTTTCATTATTGTAAGGGGATATTTTGACTTATTAAAAAGCTTAAAGGGGGGAAATGGGATGTTCACGTGGTGAGAAAACCGGAATATTGGTAGTAAATATGCCCTAGATTAATCCCTGTTTTGTAACAACAAATTATCTTGATTGGAAAGTGTATGCAAAAGGTTTGATTTCATTTTCTGCTTTTTTAAAAAGAACTATTTAAATTATATTATATATCCATACGGTACTCCGATACTGTTAAAGACTGTAATCTCATTGACATGAAATATTTTTTGCTATGAAAAAAAATTACTTGCAGTGATCAAACATCGCATGGTCACAGCAATAATTTAATTGGAAAGAAAATCAAATGCATTGAATTGTTGAATACATTTTCCATTGTGCAGAAATGATTTATTTAGACGCCCACTCCGAAGGAGGGGTATACTGTTTTTATGACCCCCTTCGAAAAAGGGAGGGCATTTTGCTTTACTGCTGTCGGTCCATTTAGTTTCCGTTCATTTTCTTCACAACCGTTGCACATACTGAAATGAGATTTGGTACACAGGTTTATCTGGTAAATATCTAGAGCAAGTTCTGTTTTGGGTACGATCCCACCATTCTTGACAGAGTTATGCCCCTTGAACTTAGAAAAATTCCATTTATTTGCAGTTTGTGTTCATTTTCTTTGCAGAGGCACATATTGAAATGAAATTTAGTATTACAGATATATCAGATAAATATCTAGGTCAAGTTCTGTGTTGGGTACGATCGCATTCTTTTTGTTAGAGTTATGCCCTTGGAATTTGAAAAATTCCATTTATTTGCAGTTTGTGTTCATTTTTTTTGTAGAGGTTGCACATATTGAAATGAAAGGATGATGTGACATAACTGCTATCTGGGGCCCCCTTTTCCACGACGAATTATGTTTAATCTACAACTATGTTGGTAGTTTTCAAACACGAGTGAATAAATACGACGCCTTTTGAATAGTTTCAATAGTTCAGACACTTTTAAATTATAAGGAATACCGCATGATCTTTGATTTTTTAGACCCAATCACAGCTTAATTCGGCCAGGTTCAAGCAAATATTTTGTCTTATGGCAAGAGAATGGGCGGGTGTTAGTACAATAGAGGGATATGCGTGTCCGAGAAGACCTTATATGGCTATTTTTGTTATTTCGCACTTTGTCATTGTCCAATCCGATGACAGAACAACAAAACATGCTGGTTTACTACGTTTACATTTTATCGCAAAAACGTGGTTTAGGTCAATTTACCTGTTATCATATTCTACATTTCAAACTTTTATAAAGATCAGCCAATGCTGTTTATACTAAATAATAAGCATGAATTTTCAGTATTTACGGTTTTTAGGACTAGAAATGCACATGAAACTTGTATTCACCGATACTCAGGAATACGTGTAGACCTAGCGAATTTCTCACCAAACACGCTACGAAACTTTAAACTAATGTATACATATCATGTATATTCTATCAATTGTTCGTAACAGTATATCATAAATTTTACTCTGGTCTCGGAAATGGTACATATGTAGATCTGTGTCTAATCTGTGACTCAAATGCATAAAAAACAGTAAACTTCAAAGCACGTTTCCATTGTATTTTTGTGGTACTCACTAGTTACGAATTACATTTAGCTGATTGGTCAGTTAGAAAGAATTGCCTGTGCCTCGATTAGCATATGAATTCATTCTTACGTCAGAAAATCTAGTTCCGTCGATCTGTTTATAATGGGAAAGGCCAACCAGATTTTACAATATTTTGAAAAATAGCATGTGAGCGCAGTTAGGTACAATTTTCTCCTTTCACATATAGGTAGATTTCAATAAAATACAGTGACCAGACAAAGGAGAAAATTGTACCTACCTGCGCTTGCATATTTTAAGGGCTTTAGAGAGTGGGGCGAGGTTAAAATGCAATGGGAATTGAATGTAAACATGATACCCCTACCCCAATAAAAGATCTATATCTTTCAAATCACGTCTCTATTTTTGTTAAAAATAGTATTCTATAAAGGTTCACAAATCAGTGATTAGTTACATACCAAAAATTGAGTAAAATTTAGACATTTAATTTTTATCAATATACGAGGGGCCGCAAGTCACCTCATCCTTTAGTATACAGATATATCAGATAAATATCTAGGTCAAGTTCTGTTTTGGGTACGATCACATTTCTTTTTGTTAGAATTATGCCCCTTGGACTTAGAAAAAATTCCACTTGATTGTGGTTTCCATTCATTTTCTTTGCAGAGGTTGCACATATTGAAATAAAATTTAGTATACAGATATTTCAGCTGAATACCTAGGTAAAAAAATGTTTTGGGTAGGATTGCACCATTTTAGACAGAGTTATGCCCTTTTGGACTTAGAAAAATTCCAGTTTGGGGGTAGGGGGGCATAAATGTTTTACAAACATCTCTTGTACCCTTGTGTGTCTGTTGGTACTAAATTTTTGTAACAGTTTTCTCAGTAATTGCTAGTCGCAGATACTAGAAATTTCAGCACACTCTTTGTTTAGGCATTTTCGTACAAATTTGATGTAAACTTGTTCTTTATTAGGTCACCTGAGTAACTCAGGTGACCTATTGCTATCCGTTTTCGTCCGTCGTCGTGCGTCGTGTGTTAACATTTGAACATTTTCAGCTTCTTCTCTGAAACCACTTAACCAATTTCAACCAAATTTGGTATACAGCATCTATGGGTGAAGGAGAACAATAATTGTGAATTTCATGGTCCCTGCCCCCCTGGGGCCTGGGGGGTGGGGCAAAAATCACTAAAATTATTGCAATCTTTAAAAATCTTCTTCTTTACTCCTGGACATCAAGCACGCAAACTGTTTGCATGAATGTAATGAGCATTGAGTCCTCTACTTAAATTGTGAAATTCATGGCCCCAGGGTCAGGGGTTCTAGTGCTAGGGCGGGGCTATATAGGTTATATAGTGAAAATGCATGATTTCTTTGAAAATCTTCTTCTCTGCTCCTAGGTATTAAATAAACAAACCAAGTACATAGGTATGATGAGCAAGAGTGCCTCTTCCTAAATTGTGAATTTTATGACCCCAGGGTCAGGGATTCTGGTGTTTGGGCGGGGCTCTATTGGTTATATAGTGAAAATGCATTAATTCTTTGAAAATCTTCTTCTCTACTTCTGGGTATTAAATAAACTAAATAAGCACATAATTATGATGAGCAAGAGTGCCTATTTCGAAATTGTGAATTTTATGACCCCAGGGTCAGGGGTTCTGGTGTTAGGGCGGGGCTCTATTGGTTATATAGTGAAAATGCATTTATTCTTTGAAAATCTTCTTCTCTACTTCTGGGTATTAAAAAAACTAACTAAGTACTAAGTTATGATAAGCAAGAGTGCCTCTTTTCTGGTAATGTAATAGATCCAATGGATACTAGGTGTTGGGGAGAGTACTATTTAATGATATCTGATTAAAGCTAAACACCATTCTTAAAAGGAACATGTCTGATATTTTTGTTCAGAGAATCGCTATTATAAGGGCCCCTCTAGGCGGGGCCCTATAGTGATCAGTCTGTCTGTCCTGTCTGTCTGTCTGTCTGAGATCTCTTGTCCGGAGCATCTCTTCTCTCTCCTTGGCCCAAATTGGCTCATGCTTATCCACAGAGTGCCTTAGGGTAAGCGGTGTGCAATGACCTTGAACAATGTTTCTTCATCAAAGTAGAGGTCAGAACAGAATTATATAAAAAATCCTTGTCCGGAGCATATTTTCTCTCCCTTTGGCCCAATCTGGCTCATACTTCACCAACAGAGTGCCTTTGGGTTACCGGTGTGCAGTGACCTTGAACAATGTTTTTACGTCAAAGGTCAAGGCCACAGCAGAATTATATGAAAAATAGCCTCTCTGTTTAAAATCTTTGTTGGGTGCATAATTCCACTCGGCCTCAAACAAATTGACTGTGTATGTGATTTTCATTCTATATTATGATAGAAGATATGCAACAATTTTCATAGAGGATACATTTCTTAAAGTTTTTTAAATGTATTATTTTTCAGGTAGTAGTTACTTTTTGTCCCCTTTAATCTCAAACACCTTCAAAATTAACCATTTTCAGCTACCTTTCATTTTCATGTTCATTGCTAAAAACTGGGCCCTTTGAGATGGCCACCATCTCAATGATATCTAGTTATACCTGCATACCCCTAATAAAGGGCAGGACTTTGTCACTGTTCATTGTAATCTGTTGACAACAGTGTAGACGGACGTATAATATATACCACTAGGTAGCAACAATAATAACGTAATACTTAATCTAATGCAGGAAAGTAAGAAATCAAAGAAACCTACAATTATAGTTGAACAGGTCAGTGCAGTACACAAATAAACAAAGACACATAACTGCAATAAAATGAAAACAAAGGTAATGCAAGATAACCAGCACGAACACGGGTCGTCATTCCATGCTGATACCCGTGACAATAAAGCAGTCAGGTTTGACGAATCTCAAGGGTATACTCTGGTGTTGATATATCACAGACAATAATATAGAAAATGGTGTATGGCTAATTATGAGTCTTGTGCACCATGCCTCTGTCTCATGCACCAGGTGTCAAACCCTGACTACTATTTAGGCATAGTGCATGCAAAATACAACACTATAAATATAATATTCATTAAGACAGTTGATCCTTATGTATGTAAAAGTTAAAAGATGTTAAACCTTTACATTAATTTAGTCAAGGTCAGCAGTCGTGGCAACAATTATATAGTGATGTCATGTGCATTAAAATGGTAAATTTCATTTGATTGGAACGTTTCGGTTCCTCTTATAGGGCATCAAGTATTACATAATGTTGTGCCAATTTCTTTAAAGGACAAATTAGATAGCAATTCTCTGAGCAATATTGTATTAAGACACCTCACCCGGAGACTAGCAAGTATCAAAAATTTGGTTTTAACTGATAATTTCCTGTTCTATTTCGGTTTCATTTACACAATATACTGCCTATCATTTGTCTTTTCTATAACATGTTAATTAGGCCTATGTTGATGATATGTCAACTTATAACTCTATTTACCTGATTTTTCATTTTAATTATGGGTTGGAAAATTAAATGTACTGAACTTTTAATAATGGGTTGGAAATTTTGAAATTATACAAAACTTGATGGAAAAAATTCTACAAGTATATCTACAAGTAAATGTAATTTGGGGTAAAATTTGGTATTCCTAATGCTTATTAAAACCAGACTATAATAATTAAGCTTCCATATTAACAAGGCTTGACTGTACATCTATAGTATCTCTATTCATTATCAACTTTGTCCTTTGTAGATGCCTAGGAGGAAGTACTGGAGGATGAGTGGTGCCAGGAAAGAGATACGGACTGACAAGACTGAGGAGACTGGCCTCATGAAAAACAGTAAAACACTTTCTGACCTGGACTTGACTGAGGAGACTGGCCTCTTAAAAAACAGTAAAACAATGTATGACATTAAAATGACTGAGGAGACTGGCCTCGTGAAAAACAGTAAAACCAATGTTGACCCTGAGGAGCCTGCCCTCAGGTTACAAAAAAAAACAGGAAAACCTAAAAACTTGTGATATGAATTTGCTCAATGAACTTTGTGATATGAATCTGCTCAATGAACTATGTGAAACAAATCTGCTCAATGAATCTCATGAAAGAAATTTGCAAAACAATATTGAACAAAAATTGACAAACAATACCTCAATCACTAAAACAGCCCTGCAAAATGAAGGTGTAATGGCTGAAAAAAGCAAATCACTTAGTCATGCAATCAACCAGGTATGCAATACAAAATTAGCATTTGGGTCATTTCATCAAGGAGATGCAAGGTTTTCATCATTTTCTAGAGGAAGTCAGTGTACCTGCAATGCTCTTGTTATGCTGATTAAAAGTTATGAAGGGTTTTCATTCTCAACAGAATTTATTGATAGCACTTTAATAGCAGGGGATCAGGTTTATGTTATGTTGGTCAAGAATTTGCAGCAAAGACAAATGTTTCTAAACAAGCTACTTAAACTGGATGAGTTGCCAAGTAACTTAACTTTAGGAGAAAATCATCATGTCATCGAGAAATTTGAAACAATGTGGGGATTACTTGTCTCTGAAGAACAAATTACTCAAGTGAAATCATTGCATCAAGCTTTAGAAGAAGCTTTCCAGGTTTCTAGATATTTGCTGATAATGATAGGGGCAATTTGTTCTGGTGTATACAAAGTGTCAGACAAGGAATATTACTTTTTTGACTCTCATTCACATGACAGTGCTGGCATGTCTTCCTGTGATGGTAAATCAGTACTAGTACAAAGCACGGGTATTGATGATTTGGTATCATATCTGTACAGTATGTATAACAGTATGCATATAGACTTTGCAATGCAGTTTGAAATCTTACCAATCTCAATTAAAACTTTGCATCATAGTTTTCCAGAGAAAAGTCCACTGCAGAAGAATTTTTACAAAATGGATGATCATCTCTCATCTGTTACAAATCCAGATCAAAACCTATGCAGAAAAAGGTATATGAGAGAGTACATGAGGACAAAAAGACAAAATGTACAGTTTAAGCATGTAGAGAGAAACAAAGAAACACATGCAAAAAAGTTGAGAAGACAAAATGATGATATAAAAAGCAGAGAAACTGAAACTGCAACATTTTGTTATGGGTCAGAATTACCCGAAATGCCAGCAAAGATCAATAACACAATTTAAACTTAACAATAATTTATTTACAGTAACATATAATAAGTATATGAAACATAAAGTACAAACTTAGCAAGAATCTAATACATACATCAGAGTGTCCGTTGCTGCACACAATGTCCCAATGAAAATTTATCCCAGTTATATCTCAATAGTGCTTATACGACAAAGTATTCACAATTATTGTATATCTATGCATTGAATTGACAGGGTATTTATATAGTATCATAAATCTAGAATATACTAGAAATTATTAAAACATGTTATTACTGGAACAATCTGGACATACACAAAATTTAAGAATGTTCTAGATCAAATGACCGAACATGTTGACCACTCTGGAATGTTCAAGAAACTTAATGTTACTAATTATATACATAATGAAACAATACACATCTCACAACACCTCCCCCCTTAAAAAGTTTGAATGTCAATGAAAAACTTAAATTGTAAAACATGTACATTAATACAAAATCTAGTATGTTTACGATACTCTTGACAAGGCGTCTGCAATAACATTGTCTTTGCCTTTGATATGCTTAATTGTTATGTTGTATTCTTGTAACAACAAACTCCATCTAGTCAGTCTTTGATTCTTGTTTGACAATTTATGCAAAAATGTCAGGGGGTTGTGATCCGTATATACAAGAATTGGATGCAAAGTAACATTCAAATAAACATCAAAATGCTGTAAGGCTAACAACAAAGCAAGGCATTCCTTTTCAATGGTGGAATAGTTTTGTTGACATTTTGTAAGTTTCTTTGAAAAATAAGAAACAACTCTATCTACCTTATCACTATGTTCTTAAACAAAAGCTGCCCCGATTCCAACATCACTAGCATCAACAGTAAGCTTAAATTGCTTAGAAAAATCTGGAGTTGACAGAACTGGGTTGCTCATAAGGACATATTTGATTTTATGGAAGGATTTTTCACAGTCCTTTGTCCATTCAAATTTAACCCTCTTTTGTAAAAGATTTGTAAGTGGACTAACAACTGAGGAAAAATTTGGACAAAATTTTCTGTAAAACCCAGCCATGCCCAAAAACCTCATTAATTCTTTCTTGTTTGTAGGAATCGGGAACTTTGCAATAGCTTCCACTTTAGCCATTATGGGTGTAACATAACCTTGACCTACTTTATGACCTAAATACTCTACATAAGCATGACAAAATTCGCTCTTCTTAAGATTCACAGTTAAGTTTGCTTTAGCTAAAATGTCAAATAAAGCACGCATGATTCGGAGATGTTCGTCCCATGTGTTGCTGTATATGACGACATCATCAATGTAGGCCTCGCATCCCTCAAGGTCTTGAAGAAGGGAGTGAATCATCCTTTGGAATGTTGCCGGTGCGTTTTTCATGCCAAAAGGCATTACTTTATACTGGTAAAGTCCATCTGGTGTAGCAAAAGCAGATATTTCTTTTGCTCTTTCTGTTAACGGCACTTGCCAGTAGCCTTTCAACAGGTCAAATTTACTGACAAATTTGGCGTTTCCAATGTTGTCAATACAGTCATCGATTCTAGGTATTGGGTATGAATCAGTTTTGGTAACAGAATTCACCTTTCTAAAGTCTGTACATAATCGGTACGAACCGTCTTGTTTTGGTACAAGAATACATGGTGAGCTCCAATCACTTTTACTAGGTTCAACAATGTCATTGTCCAACATGTACTGCACTTCCCTTCTTAGGTACTGCAATTTTATTGGATTCAGACGGTACGGATGTTGTTTGATAGGCAGAACGTCACTCACTATGACATCATGACAAGCTGCATTAGTTTTCTTTGGAACATCCGAAAAGATTTGATGATACTCATTCATCAAGTTTTTAACTTGTTCTTTTTGATGAATGTTCAAATGTCCAAGTTTGGCATCAAAATCAGCCAAAATTTCTGAGTTTTTCAAACGAACACTCTGATTACAATCTTTCTCATTCATTTCTACACTCGTATCACTTTCAGTATAATTTTGAACAGTCTTAGCATTGGCTAAAGTGGAAACTGGTTTTACAGAATTTCGGTCACACCTTTCAAAATACTCTTTTAACATGTTAATGTGACAAACCCGTTTCTCTTTACGTCGACCTGGTGTCTTAACTACATAGTTTACATCACTGATCTTGCTTTCAATTTCATAAGGGCCATAAAATTTGGCCTGTAAAGGATGACCAGGAATAGGTAAAAATACAAGAACCTTATCACCTGGCTTAAACACCCTATTTCTGGCATCTTTGTCATACCACATTTTCATTTTCATCTGAGAATTCTTCAAATTTTCTTGTGCTAATTTACAAGCATTGTAAAGTTTTTCTTTGAAATCAGACACATAATCTAAAAGATTAAGATCACTAGTCTCAGTCAGCCACTTTTCCTTCAACAATTTCAAAGGACCTCTAACTGTATGACCGAACACCAATTCAAAAGGACTAAACCCAAGAGACTCCTGGCCTGCCTCTCGTGCAGCAAATAGTACAAGATGAACCCCTTCATCCCAGTCTTTCTCATACTGGTAACAATAGGTCTTCAGCATTGTTTTTAGGGTTTGATGAAAACGTTCTAGCGCTCCCTGGGACTCAGGATGATAAGCAGTTGATCTATATTGCCTTATACCCAACTCATGCATGACTTGCTGGAACAACCCCGACATAAAATTTGAGCCTTGATCCGACTGAATTGCCTTGGGTGCTCCTACAAAACTGAAAAACTTGGTTAGGGCCTTAACTATGCTCTTTGCCTTTATATTCCTTAGAGGTATGGCTTCAGGAAATCGAGTGGATGTACACATAATGGTAAGTAAATACTGGTTTCCAGATCTGGTCCTAGGCAAAGGTCCTACACAATCCACCAACACTCGACTAAACGGTTCTTCAAAAGCTGGAATGGGTTGGAGAGGAGCAGATGGTATCTTCTGATTTGGTTTACCTACCATCTGACAGACATGGCATGACTTGCAAAACTTCGAAACATCCTTTCTTAGCTTAGGCCAATAAAAATGACTCAGAATCCTATTATAAGTCTTATTGACACCTAAATGACCTGCCATAGGTGTATCGTGAGCTAAACTCATGACATCTCGATGATAAGCAGCTGGGACCACTATCTGGTGAACAACACGCCACACTTCATCTGGAGAAGCGTCAGGTGGTCGCCATTTTCGCATAAGGATGCCATCTTTCATATAGAAGCATTCTCCAACTTTAGTAGCCTCTTCTGGTGGAAGTGCCCTCTTACTAAGTTGGATGATATATGGGTCTTTATGTTGTTCAGAGAGTAAACGTTCTCGGCTGAGGATGTCCTTGCCTTGGCTAACTAATGGATGCAACTCATCATCCTCACCACCAAATTTTGGTAAAAGTTCTTTCTTCTTTTGCTTCTTGATATTGTGTGGTTCCATGCTGGTTTGAGTGCCATCAAGGTCAGATAAGAAAGTGTCATTCAAATCAATATCAACAGAGGAATTCGTCTCGTCAAAGGCTTGAGTATGGTCTGCCTCCATTTCTCGTCTTCTGGCCATCGCTCTAGTAACAGCACAGGCTGGATAAATGTCATCATCTTCATCATCGCACATGACATCTGAATTGATTTTCTCGCAAACTATAGGATCAGGTACAACCTTCCCACCAGCTAAATCGTTGCCTAACAACAAAGAAATGCCTGGAACAGGAAGAGTAGGTCGAACACCTACGATAACAGGTCCAGTAACTAAATCTGACTTCAAACTAATTCTATGCAGGGGAACATCAATGACGCCTAGCTCCACACCCTGTAATAAAACTGACCCACCAGTAGAAGTCTGCTCAGACAAAGGAAGCACGCCCTCTAACAACAAAGTCTGTGCAGCACCAGTATCTCTCAAAATCTGGACAGGTTTTATTTCGCTAGAGTCACCGAGTGAAACTAATCCCTGAGACATAAAGGGCTTATAATCCTCCATAGAATCAATAGAACTGGACTGTGAACCCTGAACATCAGGAGTGTCAGAACAAATCGAAACTAAGGCTTCTCTATCACCTCTAACTGCCGCACAAGCATGTGGTTGAGTTTTATCAAAATCATTTTTTCTCTTAAGTTTAAAGCATTCACTGATCAGATGACCTTTTTTCTTACAATAACTACAAGTAGGAAGCGACCCTATTCCAGAAGATCCTTCAATACGTCCTGGACCGGACTTAGAACCACCTTGGGATGGAGACTGGGAACTTGTGAAAAACTGAGACCCTGAACCACTCTTTTTATATGTGTCTGAATTGGTAGAATTACTGCTAGTCTGAGATCTTGATACAAAATTCTTTTTATGAGACAGAGCATAAGTATCAGATATGACTGCTGCCTCTTCAAGAGTTTTCACATTCTTATCTTCTAAATGTGTTTTCAAATCTTGAGAAACACATTCCTTAAACTCTTCTACCAGGATGACTTGGCGCAAATTAGCAAAAGTTTTATCAAGTTTCTTAGATCTAAACCAGTGATCAAATAAATCTTCTTTCTCTCGTGAAAATTCAACAAATGTTTGATTATCAAACTTCCTATACTTTCTGAATTTTTGTCTATATGCTTCAGGTACTAATTCATATGCTTTTAATATTGCTGCTTTGACCTTCTTATAGTCTGAACTCTCAACTACCCCTAGTGCAGAGTATACCTCAGCCGCTTTTCCAACCAGTACACTTTGTAACATTGTTGACCAAACGTGTTGTGGCCATTTAAGATTCTCTGCGACTTTTTCGAATTGGGGAAAATATTTGTCTACAGATTTTTCTTGAAATTTCGGAACTAACCTAATGTTTTTTGCTGCGTCAAATTCAGTTTTGACAACTGACGGTTCTGGTTGGTTTTGTAATTTTAATTTCTCTAATTCAAAGTTCATTGCACGCTCTTCTCTTTCTGCTGCTAATTTGTCTAATTCAAATTTTCGTTCACGCTCTCGTTCTTCTCTTTCTCTTTCTCGCTCTTCTCTTTCTTTTTCTCGATCTTCTCTTTCTAATTTTTCTCTTTCTAATCGCATTTTCTCTAACTCTAATTGAAACTGATATTCTGCCATTTTGTAAGAGCCTAACTCTGATTTAACTGTATATTCTGGAAGATCGTATTTTTCAAAGATGTTTTCTTCTACTAGTTTGTTTGCAACCTTAATTCTAATGTCTTGCTTTCTCTGAGAGGATTTAACATCTAACCCAAAATGCAAACCTAATGCGATCAAGTCATCCTTTTTTAACGTATCAAAAACCTGAACACTTGGTGAACTAAGAAAGTCTGTGACCGAAAACACCATGTTGATTTCTGCTGGCTTATAATTTAATTTAACAAAAAATTAATGAGCAAAATTATGACAATAAACTGCAAAAGTGCAAAAATTCTTTATCCCGGACGAGCCCCCAATTCTGTTATGGGTCAGAATTACCCGAAATGCCAGCAAAGATCAATAACACAATTTAAACTTAACAATAATTTATTTACAGTAACATATAATAAGTATATGAAACATAAAGTACAAACTTAGCAAGAATCTAATACATACATCAGAGTGTCCGTTGCTGCACACAATGTCCCAATGAAAATTTATCCCAGTTATATCTCAATAGTGCTTATACGACAAAGTATTCACAATTATTGTATATCTATGCATTGAATTGACAGGGTATTTATATAGTATCATAAATCTAGAATATTCTAGAAATTATTAAAACATGTTATTACTGGAACAATCTGGACATACACAAAATTTAAGAATGTTCTAGATCAAATGACCGAACATGTTGACCACTCTGGAATGTTCAAGAAACTTAATGTTACTAATTATATACATAATGAAACAATACACATCTCACAACAATTTGCAAGGAAATTAAAAAGTCAGAATGCTGAAATAAGACAGAAAGAAAAGGAAAGAGATGCAGCTGCAAGAAAGTTAAAAAGACAAGATGCTGAAATTAAAGAGAAAGAAAGGGAAATGGATAAGTTTGCAAGAAAGTCAAAGCGACTAGATACTGAAATTAAAGAGAAAGAAAGGAAAATGAATACTGCAGGTAGAAAGATAAAGCGAAAAGATGCTGAAATTAAAGAGAAAGAAAGGGAAATGGATAAGTTTGCAAGAAAGTCAAAGCGACTAGATACTGAAATTAAAGAGAAAGAAAGGAAAATGGATACTGCAGGTAGAAAGATAAAGCGAAAAGATGCTGAAATTAAAGAGAAAGAAAGGCAAATGGATAAGTTTGCGAGAAAGTCAAAGCGACAAGATACTGAAATTAAAGAGAAAGAAAGGAAAATGAATACTGCAGGTAGAAAGTTGAAGAGACAAGATGCTGAA